GCGAGCAGAAATTCAGGAGATTGTTGCTTCAGGTAGTCGATTCCCTATGTCACCACGACGTCACCACGTCTGCTTTTGGGGAGATTTATCTGGAGAGTTACTTGGTTTCCTTCATGCATCAATGCAAATGAGACAAAATATCCTAGGGAATCTCATGGGTACTCAGGCTCCCGAAAACCTGCTCAGTCTGGCTAAGCACCTAGGCAAAACAACAGAAGAGGTTGTCATTTTATACTCTATTACTGTTCTATTAAGTGTTAAGTAAACAGAGTAATGGAACGTATAATTAAACCTTTAAAAAAAACACGTGCTGTATAGATTGTATCATCTTCATTAAGTATAATCCCAAGGATTCTGTAGATTTAGTTAAGATCAATGGAAAATGTTGCCTTCTTGCATTTAGAAATGCATTTCGTGCATTTAGAGCATCATGCTCTATCCTAAATGCTAGGAATTGCTAGACCTGCAAGAATGTTTTATGAATTGCTGAAGCCCTCACAAGACAAGACAAGAATGTGACAATTTTGATGCTTTTGACAGTGCTTAGATTTATAACTTGTTGCACTGCTAAAGTGGTATCCTTAAAAATATTCTTTATTTAATGCAGTAGCTCAGAGGTCTGGAGACCACTTGAAATATAAACAGGCATTAATGTCTTGAAGTACAAATATCAAAGATGGTTTTAACTCTTTCTTCAGCAAGCAATCATGCTAATAAAATGTTCTATGAGACAGATTATTTTAGCATTTGCATCTCATATTAAATGGCATCTGCAAGATAAAATCAGTTGATCCAAATGAAGTGATTAGGAATAATTGGCAGAACTATATGTCAATGTCTTTCCTATTAAAGAAATAGAACATTTCTGCATATGCTCATGCCCATATCCTGTAGGCCACAAAGAAAGACTTCAGCTTCCCCTCCTCCTCCCCTAATACTGAAATTGAGAGAAACAATAAAAAATATATTTCTATTAATAATAGCACCTGACCATCTGGGCAAGAAACCCTTCAGTTTGATTTTTCATTTCACTAATAACTTCCCAGCTGCCATAAAATACCTTTTTTTTTTCCTCTGTTTTGCTTTAAAAAACCTTAAGCACACACTACCTCAGCTTACTATCACTTCCAGAAACCATAGCAACCAGAGAAACCTAAGCTTGCTTGAACTCAGACACTTTCTTCTAACAACTCTATTTATCCTGTGTCTCTGATGAAGAAGGTGGGGGTCTTGTTACTCAAAACCTCTTACTCAGAACAGGTAGTCAAGGACATCTTTATCTTTCATATTGGAGTGGAAATTCCCACTTTTATTTGGTTATCACACTACTCATGTAGTCCAGGATTTTTTTTTTAGTACACTTGGACTTTCCTGCTAGCCACTGATTAGATCGAGAGCCATATTTCAAGAGCACTTAAACATCTATTTACCCATATAACACCCTGCTGTGAGGGGAAACCAGAGTTACATGTCAATCAGTCTAGGTACAAGGGTACTAGGACAGTTTTCTATCCTAGCTAATACCTTTTCTTTTATTGTTGAAGTGCTTTTGCTCTCCACCAAAGTGGTGTAACGAGGGCTTCAGTGACATTGTGCTCTGACACACACGAGAGAGGCTGAAACCTCTCAATTATTCAGGTCCCTTGAGATCTGACTAGGGGTGCTTATCTAACTCTCCCTTTAATACACAAATAGGCAAAAATAATTACTCATCTATCTTAAATGCAGCAAATTTCTTGAGCAAAGCCTTGTCAAATCACCTTGTATTTTGAACAATAAGGAATCATGACCATCTGATCTGGTTTCCTTCGTAAACCAACCAGATTTCTCTGAGTAATTCTAGTTTGAAGGGCAAAGAGATCTAGAGAACTCCCGACACCCAGTGATGGACCTTACCCCAGAAATGGAGAATTCACCACCTTAACAGCCCTTAACAACACAGGAGCTGTTAAGAGAGTTATTTTCATTTATCTACTATATAAACTCAAAACACTGAATTTTTAGTATCTGTTTGCTGGGCTGATTATCAGCTATGCTTCTTCTGTAAATATTTATCAACTGTGACATTACCTATTAACCTTTTTTGGATAAGCTTAATAGAAGGCTCCTATTTGTTCACTGCATGCCTTATCTCCTGCGGGATTGCTTCTTCCTCACTTTAAGCTACTCCAGGGAACACTTGGCTTACAGGTAGAAAGTACCTAGAAAAAAAATAGTCTCTCAAAAGGTGAACTAAAGTTGCCCATTTTGTCTATTTTGTGAGCAGCAGTTTACATGCAGAATCTTCTATGCTTCCTTGTAGCCAAGTTTATGGCCTTTTTTAGCTTCAGGGAAAGAAATACTCTATGCAGTCTTTAGCCTGTAGCCGCACAATGCACTTTTTCTGCATTTGGCCCTTCATCTGAAGTTTAAAAGCCAAATGGTCACGCCGGCCACGTTACTAGCTCATCTCATTCTCACCTTAGCACCAGTACAGCTGCCACACAGAAGCACTGACAGGAACATAGGCAGACATCGGAATTTCTAACATAGTAACATAAAATCTTATTTAAAAACTAATGCCACTAACACAATACAGCAAACAGCCTGTCTTTCTGTATTAGTAGGTTTCTGTATTAGTAGGGCCTTGAGTGTCAGTAGCAGTTTGGTCATAACAAATAAGACCCCGTTTTCAAGTGGCTAAAGGACTGTAAAATAGGAAGAATGACAGCCTTTATGTTAAAGAAATCCAAGAACCTAGTGCCTTCATTGAAAGCCATAACTATATAAAAAGATCTGTTAAGAGTTAATATATGGGATATTCAGAAAACACTGCACCCGTGTGTGGAAGCCACAGGCACTCCCAGTGTGGGAGGACAAGTCTGCAGAACACCCCCATGCACAAGATCAGCTTTACATTTACTGGCGTTATACTGGTGTCACCCTGACTGCCCATATATAGAAAACATTATCCAAATTATGTCAAGCTGTGTAACTGTAGCATAGGTAAAAAGGATGCTGCTGGCAGGGCACCAGAGCACATACAGTCTCGTCTTCTACAACAACGGCACAGACACCAATTTCTTCCATACTAGATTGTGTTGTTCTAAGCAATTTCAGCTTCAATTTTATTCATATAATTAAAATCAATGCCTGGATATAGAGTGCTGGTGGCCTACTGAGGGTTGTTTATCAGCACATGAAATACCACACCATTATTAGGCATGGTAACACAACATACACTAGCCAAGCCCCCACTGTCTGGGGAAAGAAACACCCTCATAGTTAATCGCCCTGTTACACAAAAAAAAAGAAAAAAAAAAAAAACACGGAAAAGCAATATTCTCTCCCACTCCAGTAGTACTCTCCCTCCTGCCCACCCCACCCCAAGCATGGATTTGGGAAAGTGAAGAGGCAAGAGATCATGGACAGAAGAAAATACATGATAAAAAATGTTGTGCATGCAGCTGTGCAGGCAATATAGTCAGATGTATGGCAGAAAAAATTCCCCCCTTGTGTCTTGATGGTGGACTACAACAACTTCTGAAAGGTTAAGTCCTCCTAGGACAGAGCCCAGTTTTGCAGCAACACTGAATAAAGTGATTAGGAAGAGAGAGAGTTGTCTGCTCTGTTTCCTCCGGCAATTCCCTCAGCTAAAGAAATCAAGTGCACAGTAATTCTGCCTGCAGAAGCAGCTAAAAAAAAAAAAAAAAAAAAGTTTCCAAACAAATTCTGGTATTTTTTTTTTTAAGAATGAATTGTTGTGAAAGGGCACTCAATATCAAGTTATTCATCCCATACCCCTCAACTTGAGCAAGAGACAGGCAGGTTTTCTGAAATTCCCATTTTGGGAATTTACACACACATAGCATATTTGATTACAAATCGTCAACTAGCTCTTTTTGACTTCATTTTCTTGGTAACGGCAACCCCACTCATCCCAAAGAGGAGATCCCATTACAGTAAAATACTAATTAGTACTATTGCTACTTTAACAGACAATTACTGAAGTGTCTCCTATCCATGAAGTTGGTCTCAACTTCTGCTTACATGTTTATTACTCATTTATACAAAGAACAGCAAAAATGGTGCTGTTTAACCAAGTCCTCTGTTATATTACAGTTTCATGGAGGAAGAAACAGCTCCCTATTTGTAACTCTAGTAATTTAATTCTTCTAACCCCACCCTTCTGCCTTGCATACTTGAAATGCATGAACAGAGGGTTTAAGTGTGACTATTGGGGAATTAGCCAATTTACTTAATGAATTGCTACACATATACTACAAAGACTACTACTTTGCAATACTTGTCTACTTGGCTTTGCTGTGAAAAGCCTCGCCTCAGTTGGATTATTCCTGGTTCTTCTCTCTTCTCATTATCCTTCCTCATTATCCTAAATCCTGCTAAGCCGAAATTCTCCACAAAACTTTCAAGAAGTTCAAAATCTGAACAGGTCACAGAAATAAACAACCAAATGTTCGCACAGATTAACTCCTATAGGAGTTAGGTAACTTTTATTGAACTCTGAGGTAATCAATTACAAAGCAGAGCAATGAAATCCAGGACCAGAAACATCTAGTAACAGTCCAAGATGTAGAATTAATTTTTATGGTCATAAGGGCCTGACATGCAGTTTTTGCTCAACACTTAAAGCCTTACAGATTTCCTTTTAATCAGTATAATTGCTTATTCCCTCTCCCTCACCCACATGCACACTTGTATTTTAAATAGCAGTAATTTCCTGATTTTTGAGAAGGCACTATAGCGTCCTTTAGAGTATGCAGAAGCCATTGTCATGATCATCTATGAAATCTAAAGTTCAAAGTTGTCCATGGAAGAAAATGCAACTGCTGACTGAGGGCTTATATCCAGTGATGAGTAGCCATCACCACTGTTACTGTAATGGCAATTGCATTCTAGGTGATTTACTGTCAGACTCCAGAAAAAGAGTATGCAGTGTTCAAATTCAAGTTATCCAATGTCCACACTTATCATGAGGGAAATTGCTTCCTCTGTTGCAGAAAATTTCTTAAAGCTCTCCTGATTAAGATAGGGGACAGATGTTACCTACAGTTCCTTTTAACAATCAGCATGTTTTTACAGCTGGAGATTTTCTTCTCAGACAAGGCACTGGATGAGAATCTTTGCACTTATAGCTTTGGAATAGGAGTTGCAGCCACTGCAATGCTCTCAATGGCACATTCATCGGTGCCACGGCGGATTCTGAAGTAGCCATTTTCTCCCCATGAGGTGCCCCAGCTGTTCTTCACAATCCAGAACTTCTCACCACTTTCTGGGTCTTTACCATAGCCCACCAACAGGACAGCATGATTGGTCAGTTCAAAAGGGTTGAAGTCATCCTGCAGCCCAGTGTGATGGTAGATTCCCTCTTTATACAGCATGAAATCATTGTAAACTTCAAAGGCAACAGCCATTGGCCCATGCAGAACAAGCTCAAGTTTCATCAGGGCTTCATTGCAGCCTCCATAGAAACCACCAACATAGTGATATTCAGAAGTGTAATAGTGATAGCAGTTGCGCTTGAAAATGCATGGAGAATCTTCAGCCGTGTAAGGGAAGCAGTCCTCTTCCACAATGCCAAAGTCTTGGGTGTACTTTCCAGCAATGAGGTATGGAAAGCCACCATCACACCCTAAACAGAAAAAATATCTTGTTATATCATTGGTAATTATTTTTGAGATGGGAGATTTTCCCCACTCAAATCTTCTGGAACACAGTATTGAAAGCCAACTGCAGCTATTCAGACATTCTTAGTATTCCAGATGAGTTACAGCCACATAAAACACATCTGTTCATCACGAGAGCTATAGTGGGAATACTATAATGCAAGGACCACCTCCTCATCCATTTGCTCCCGACACCCCATCATCTACACCAATCAGATAAACACAGTTAAAAAAGAAAGTCACAACATGCATATTGTCCTTTGAAGAGCCTTAGTCATTGCTTTTGCTCTTTCTGCCATCCTCCCTCTCCATATATTCCTCCTCCCTCTGCATATGCTTCCAGGATATTTGGTTTCACCCTTTCCATACTAGTGGACTTACCCTGAGAATACTGGCTGCAAGACACAACCTGCTGAGGACTAAAGACTGGCTTCTGAGTATTGTTTGTCAGGATACGGATTCTTGCTTCCAGCATGCCCATGGAAGAAAAGGCATAGCAGCTGCCACACGAGGCTGAGGAGAGAAGAAAAAAGAAAGGTCACTTCCATACAAAGCAAATATTATGGGAGTCCACTGTAGAAAGTGACAGTCTACCACACTGGCTTACAGCAAACAGAAGTTACACACTCGCTGGAGGAAGAAGGAAAAATAAATAAATAAGTAATTTTAAAAAATCCCCACCTCTTTAAATATATACATAGGCAATCCCATTTAAAACACATAATCTTAGCAGCTTTTTAAGTAACACTGAGTTTATTTCAAAACCAGAGACTATGAGACTATACAGCTCTTCAATATATCCTAGTTGTATCACTTCAGAGTTATGTTACCTCTTCAGAATGAGCCTACAGGTAAAGGGCAGAGAAAGCTCATAACTTTCCATCTCAGATTACAGCCTTTTGCAGAACAAATCTGCAAAGAGGCAGTGAACTATTTTAAATTAATGATGTGACTGTTGCTCTACAAAGTTTAAATTTATCAGTGCCTTTTAAGTTACCCCCCCACAAAAAAAACAAACAAACAAAAAAAAACAAAAAGCAACAACAAAAAACCCACTACTTCCATAACTTACCTCTAAAATAACTCAAAGAGGCTAGCAGTTTATTTAAATGGTAGGTTTAACGTAGGGGTTTCATCCCCGTTCCCCTTACTTATCAGGGGCATTTAATTGTACACTGGCTTTTCAGAAGCTGTTTCCATTCTGTTGTCTGACTCCTTCTGTTATCCTATTCCTTATTTCCCTTACTTTTGGGGCAAGGTTTGCTTCTTAGTTTTATGCCCCTCTACTTCCTGGAAATTTCCAGTAACACATTAAGAAGCTTTCAAAGTGGAATAGCAAGCATCACAGGGAAGGACAATTACTCAGATGACTTTATCTACTGGTTGTCACCAAGGTGCCCAGTTTCTTTATGTTTCCTGACAGCAGGTAAGTCAAATATTGCAGAGCTATGAAAAGGAGGGTAGCTTGAACAAAACAAAATACTTTTAGTGAACTGCGTAGGCGTGTAAAACCAGAGTTATTATAAAAGCAGGACTTGGAAATTATACCCTCCCTCAGCTAGATGCATCTCTGAAAAGAAGGGGCAAAACCAGCTGGTACATGAACACTTTGCCCAGCAGGGCTGACTGAAATCACAAAAAGTGCCTCCCACTCAGCATCTGAGATTAGCCATGCCCCATTTTTTTTGCATTGTGTGCAAAAAAAAAAAAGCCAAAAAAAATTAATGCAACCTTTTCATTCTGAAATCAGTTAACATGCTGAGATGTCTTTGCCTTCACCACTATAGTACATGAGAGGCTTTTAATGTGACAGGTACATTTTTAACTATCAAGACAGAACCAGCATAATTGCATTTCTGTGGCTTCCCACAAATACTATTCTAGTGTCAATTAAAGCTTCAGCAGCAATAGTTTCAAATGACTCTCCAGAACAGGATCATTATGTTATGAGCTGTAACGATAGGACACAGACCACTTGGAGAAGAACCAAGTCTTCCTACCTACTTTGATCTGCACAGAAAGCTCACAGGAGCCAGTAATTGCAAGAGACAGCAAAGTTGATAACAAGCAACGACAAGCCTACATCTTCAAAGAACACCCCTTTGTCTCACAGAAAGTCCAGAATTTGTTAACTCTCTTTTCTTCTGGTTGTGAGGCTTGCTTTACTATAATGCAGTCACTGCATTATAAAGAACTTGAACTTAACTTGGTGCTTTCCTGACTATAGGAAATGCTAGCAGGGATGCTAACATAGTATCAGTAAATTTAATCAAAAACTTTAAGTTACACGAAGCCTGTCACCTTGAAGTATTTTATAGGAAAAGTGTACATTTTTTGTAGTTCTCAAGCACTTCAAATGAATTTGTCTTAAGATATTAAAGACTAGTGACTCCAAAAAGATGCAAGAGATCTGTGAAAGCATGATCTTCCAGTTCATACAATTCTCTCCACATAGACCAGACAACTTGCACCGTACTGTTTATGGTCTTCTTCACCACGGCATTTTCTATTTAGCAGTAACTTTAAAAATGTGATGTAACAAAAAAATCTCAATCCCATAATTTTGATGAAGCATCAGAATCCAGTGCCTTAGCAAATCACACAAAGCAAAATAAGCAAAACTTAAGCAAAATGGTGCTGTTGTAACGATTAAGATCAATTTTGGGTTTTCTTCAAGAGACAGAAAGCAAAATTCCTATTTAACAGTGCAGAATGAATATTCTGTGTTTTAACTTATTCAGCTTAGATGCTCAGATTGCATGAAAAGTATAGGCAGCTTTATTAATGGAAGGAACATACCATTCCTCATTTAAAGGACACTTGAAACAATGGTATGAAGAATGGTAGGAAGATCAAGTGTTCCTGTAGTTTGAAAAGGGCAAAATGGCTGTTGGAATCAACAGTTCACATCAGAATGAAGTACAAGTCCAAGACCTGTACCTATGTAGGACTACATAACTTCTTGCTGACATCTTTCATAATGTGAAGTGACATGAAGTGACAACTTGTGAGCTCCAACTCCAAAAGCCTCTTCTATAACCAAAAATCTAGCTGGCAGATTTAATTTTTCTTTTTCTAGCTGAAAAACTAACAGAAGAGGCAAATTTATTTGGAAATGGTGGAGAATTGATATATTAACACTCTTGGTTCCTAGGATAGAGCTTGCTGATTCAAAAGTGGAACAGGTATTTCTTCTAAACACATGCTGTAATAGCACCCGTCTCTAGGACATGAACACACACCAAAATGGTATCTCTTGGTCTAATTTGAGCTAAATATTTTCCTATTGCAGGAAAAAGTGGGTTGGGAGAGTAGTTACCAGTATACACTATTCATAACACCCAACACCTCCTTTTACAGCTAGTCATTTAAGTCAGTCCTGAAGCTACTGGAGCGATAAAATTTGAGGACAGTATAAAAATAAACCCATTAAAATACTTTTAAGCTCCATGATAATTTGTTATCAACAAGAACAACTGGAAGAACCAACCATACATGCAGCATGCAAGCAGCCAGAATGCAGACAGGCATGACAGACTGGTCAAAACTTAATGGCTGTATGTAGGGCACTGTAGTAATTGCCTTTCTGCCCAGTAAGAGACATGGCTGCTTGCATAAGCCAATATCACCTTCTGTTCTGGCATGGCATTGTCAGCCAGAAGCCCATCTGGTTTTGTCAATGGCAAGGTGAGATGGAAAGCCTTCATGTTAACAGCAAGTTACAGAATACATCAAAGGAGCTCTAGAGAGTTTCATTTAAAGAGTTTTGAACTTTTACCTTGATTCCGAACAGGGCTGACATAATTGACACCATTCACGTTTCTCCAGTCCCAGGATTCTGGCAAACTTGAAGCTTTGTTGAGCAACTCGGGTGTTATGGGTGCAGGATTTGGTCTAAAAAGGAGAATACACTTTGAGTAACATTCGACACACCAGGGAAGGAAACAAATCACAAAAAAAACTCACTCTGTTGGGCATCTTCTGGCTTCTGCTGGTTGCTTAGTTTCATGCTACACAATTTCAAATAGCTTCCATCCATGCTGAGTGGGTATCAATCTCAATAGATTAGTTTCAGCAGAATGCTGAATTTCAAATCCCTTCAAGAGGGAACTATATTATGAAGTACTCACAAATTGGTCAGGTCAAAACACTTTTGAACTAATTTAAGGTGCTTGAAGTAACTCGCCAACTGCAGCAGAAGACTCTCTAGGAGCTATTTTACCTCTCTGCTAGTATGAAACATGCAGGGTATCTATGATTGCAGAAGGTACCTTGCCTTGGCAGCATGCACTGACAGCAGCTAAAGACTTTAACTGCAGACACAGACGGTGACGTGGTTTACATCAACACTTCAATAATTATAGTTTTACTTCCCCAGAAGATTTGCCTGGAGCAAGTTTTACTGTGATAGTTCAACAGTTTCGAATGCTACTAATCCTCATTTACCACCGGCAGCCAAGCAATGCTTATATACATCAGCAAGACGGGAGAATCCTACATTAGGCATTCACGTGACCCAATGCTTGTTCCAGTCAGGTGTCAAGTACTATTCACAGACAGCAGCTATGCTGCCTCTTCATAAAGCATTGGCAGAGGGAAGGAAAAGATGTAGTTATGGTGCTGCACAGTGTCACAGTTTCCAAATGAATTTATGCATTAGAGACTATCTTTACAAATATTTTTCTGTAGGATGAAGCCATGATAGTTTATATAATACTCTTATGCAGTTGTGAATTTTTAATCAAAAGACTTTCTTGTACAAGCATAAAATTGTTGCCATTTGAAAAGGCTGGTGGCATTCCTACCCAAAACAGTATCAGGGTTGAAGGCCCGGAGAGCAGGGGAAGCAAAAGTAAAACTGCTTTCAAGAAAGAAAATTTCAGATGAAAGAACCCTTAGTTCTCAGACTGATGCAAAAGAGGACTATGCACATGAAAGAATAACCTTTCAGGGCTACTTCACACTAGTTCACAAAAGCTGAGAAACCACTCTGCTCTAGTCAGAGAAGGACCCCGGTCACAGGCAAAGCAAGTTGCAATAGTAACCAAGGACTTCCTCAGAAAACCTTCACTCTTCATATTTAAGAAGGGAATATGCTTCACCACTTTTTAATTGAAAATATGAATTAACTGAACCAAGGCAACTTACGGCTATGGCAAGCGGCTGATAGCTACACAGGTGTGCAGGATGGGAGCTGAGACTGTCCCTACCTCTTTGCTGCACATATGATGAGAAGCTGAATGATCCCATTTATCTCATCTGCTTGAGATAACAGATGCTTAGGACAGTCATTCAAACAGTGAAATAGGTTGGCACTCCAGCAAAACGAGCCAGAGTAGCTTGAAACATGATTGTGCATCTGAACCATAAGTCAAAAAGGCAGGTAGGAAGAGTTGGAACAAACAGTAGCATCTTTGCGGCAGTGTGTTGTAGGTCTAGAGCAAAGTGAGAGGCCTTAGTACCTTGGAGCTCTGGAATAGAGACCTCCACCTCTTCTGGTTAGCTCTTCCAGGGATAGGTTCTCATATTCTTTGTATCTTGTTGCTCTCCAGGACTTCTGGCGAGTATTAATAGCATTTACGAAGTCAAAGTTGTGCACATAACGTCTGCTTGAAAGCCTGTAAATGAAATCAAACAAAACAATAAGAGAAGGGCTGAGATGGAAGGAAATATATGTATACATATATATAAGTGCTTTCCAACCTAAATACAAAGGTGTTTGCCAACAGCATTAATTCTGAAAGAGTCTTACAGTAGCTACTAATAAAGAGAAATGTAGTAACTGGACCCAAGGCAAGACTCTTGACACTTACATCAGCCTTTAACTAGAAAGATACAATTACCTCCTTTAGAAATGTCACATTTGTGACCAGACTAATAGAAACTGCTGGAAACAAGAGACGGAAGGGGCAGGCATATCCTTCCCTGTCTTTGGACATAGTGGTACTGTTGGGGATTAACCTTGAATATCATTCATTACAGCCTGGAAGAGCTTGCTCTCACAATGCAACAACTCTGGTCTCTTTTATACAATACAGGTCAAATATATTAACTTTGTTCAGCTAGTCACAAAACTGATCTGCAGGGTTTGGGATGAATCTTGAAGCAGAGTTACTAAAAGTCTTATTTCAGTGACAGGCAACTCATCTGCTGGCTTACCTTCCCCTAGGCTTCTGGAAAGGCAGCTCATTTGTATGAACACCTGAAGAAGCTGAAGAGATCTTGTGTCCACTGAAACAAGCCCAGTTGTGGCCAAGTACATCATGTACCCATCCAGGTAGAGTCTCATTACAGTAGCTGGTCACATTCCGGCCTTCCTTTTTGTACTGCAGTGTAAAGAGACTATAACTTATGTAGAACAGAGACATTTGCTAGCACAGCAGTAAATCCTATCCTACCCAACTACTTCTTGGTCTGCACTTCAGAGGATGTGGCCTCTAATTCAACTGGCATCATGCTCAAGTGGAAAACAAATAACGATTAAGGAAAAAAATAAGTGGATAAAAAACAGATCTCTAACAACTTACTATAAGATAACAATCAGGTTGTAGCTTATATTTTTAGCAACAAAGCACGCATTAGTATTGGTATCGACTAACAAGGTGGTTAAACAGCTACTTTCTAGAAAAAATATCAAAGTCATCTAGCTGGAAATAAGTTTGTGCAATGCAGGAAAGAACTACTCGGCTACAAGCAAACAAGCGCCTATCTAAACACATTGCAAGGTTAAGCAGTTATAAGGAACCATTTAATTGCCTCCATGCCCCTCTGACTGTTGTGAAATTAGCAGTTTTACAGATTAACAGCATTGCAAGCTCTTACCTAACAAAGTCAACTAGTAGTTTGAAGGAACGGGGATAGGGGACAAGGCATTTATTAAATTCTGGGACACTTCCCCGTGCTTTTCAGCCACTTGTACCTTCATAATCTGTAATCGCCTTTACAGAATAAAGGAGAGATTCTACTGAAGGTAACTGACTTAGGCCATATTCCTTGTGCAATCTTTGAGGAAATAAATCTTTAATTCAATCATGTCTTTCTGATGGAATCCCTGCTACTCACAAGTTTGGCTCACTTATTTTTTCCAATATCAACTGCAAAACTAATGATGAAACCATTTACCTGAAAATGATGGAAGACATGTTTTTTGACATGTAGAATGCCTTGCTTATCAATTTCAGTTGTTCAAAGCAGAGCGAGTCAAATATCTGCCTGAACAGTAAACTACATTAAGTGATCTCCAGAAATTCTCTCCAACATACATTATTTAATAGCACTCTTGCATGGCAATGCATTTACCACTTTTCAAAGGCACAGATGATATCATCTTAGTGCTTATCAGTCACTTAGTGCTGAACCTCTGGGGATTAATTTTGCAATGGATACATGCCAGCAATACGGCCTGCAGTGCCCCTGAACTGTCTTCAATGTAGTGCAAACAATTCTGTATTCTGGAGCAAGCTACTTGCCATTTCTACAATTAAATTCCTTGTGTTCAAGATTTAGTCTGATAATCAAAACTTTTCCTCAGTTGATCCATTTCTTGGTTTGTAGGACAACTTTGATATTTTATCTTGAAATGCAATCTGAGGATTCCCAGCTTATTGGTTCAGCTATCCTCCCAAGTCCAAGCACAGCAAAGACTGTGCATTTCCCCCACCAGAGCTGACACTAGGCCTGAGTTCACAAATAACACTAGAACATATAGTGCTCTACTACTCTCAGAGAGGCAGCAATACCTCACTGCTCTTGAGGCATGGCTCCTACATAGGGGAATTATGGAAGCTTATGGAAGTATCCCAGCAAAAGAAATTTCTGAGGTAATCTCTCCAGACTAGTCTCAAGCATTTGCAGTTTTTCTTGCATCATCTGCCAGTCTTATCAGGAGAGCCCACAATGACAACTTAGTGTCACTACCTTGCAGAGATTCAGGAACTTCAGTGTTCGCAAACTTTCCTCTTGTTTAACTGCAAGACTCTCTAATGGAGAACTCTTACATCAAAATTCTTCAGTGGTAAGTGCACACAGGCAACTTTAGTCTTATAGTCTTTAGTCTTATAACTTTAGTCTTATTAGTCTTATAAAATGACAACCTACATTGCCCTTTCCCCTTCAGCTTAATGGGCTCTAACAGAGAAGGAGGTAGCTGCAGTGAAGCCAGAGCTTCATACAGTATTATCATTCCTATCACTGTGTTTTCCTGGGAGAGGATATCATTTACTTCTGCTAATACATGAAAACAGCAATTTGAAAATAGCTGCTGTGGCTCTTAGAAGGCCAATTTGAAGAAAAATCATTTCTTCACTCTCCTTGCCACTAATTATAGCTCAGGTCTTACACTTGGACAAAACTGGAGCATTTACCACTACCAGGTCATCTGAAACTAGATACAAGATCAGGTCACAAAATAAACAGAGAAGCAGCTGTTCACAGACACTGCTGAGGTCTGTACTGCCTTGCCACACACCTCTGTAAAGAATAATAATTTTAGGGGCAGGAAAATTTCTCGAAAAATTATAAAGTACTTGGGGATACAACTTTGGAATAGTTCTCAGATGGCCTCTCTATAGTGAAAATGTTTCTCCTGTACCTGAGAACATTTTTTAAGAAAGATTAAAAAAAAAAAAAGAAGAAGCAAACACACAAAAAAAACAAACCTCAACTAGCATTACCTCCTATATCTTTATCATACTCACTACACTGCTCAGAAAAATTTGGTTTTGAGTAATTTAATTCAACATGAGAAAGAAGACTTAAAGCAATGTTTCAATTAGGTCTCAGATACCAGGAATAAAACTCAAAAAAGGTATTTTCTCATCAGCAATTGCAAAATTTAGCTTCACAAAGGCCTTCAACCACTGTAAACACAGACAGAATTGAAAGCAACAGCATTTGTGACATTCCTCAGAAAATGCTGTAAGTGCAACATAAGTATCTATTCTATCCCTCTTCTCCATACGCAGAGGCTTACATTTTCTGTAGGTCACTTGTTTCACTATCCAAGCCAAGCAGAACCAAGTGAACCAACCATTCCACTCTGGCTTTCAGTGACTAGGGTAAAGCCTGAGCACAAGCAGTTTTCCCAACAGGCAGCGACGCAGCAAACGCCAAGTTAACTCACCTTAAAAAAGGCAAACCATTTGTAGTCATTTATCACAAGCTCAAAGCCTTGATTGTAGATCAGAGTGAAGAAGCCATAATTGCCCAGGCTGTCCTGAGCCACATCTAATTTCTGAAGACTCACTACCACTTTTCTTTCCACGGCTCCTGCAAGAGGAAAAAAAAGCAAAAGCAAAGCGTTGCAGTGAGTAGCTAAACGCAAGAAGGAAGCGTTAGCGGCGCTCGCCCCGCTCCTTCCCCCCGGGCCTCCCCGCGGCCCGGCCGCGCTCTCACCGGGCTGGGAGCAGTTGCTGTGGCGGCCG